ACGTAAACAAGAATATTCTGATTACTCTCTTCCCCAACTCCCTCTCTTCTCTCACACCTCTGTCAGCTCCCTTCATCTTGATGAGAGCCTTTCCCAGAATCTTAACTTTTGCTTTTGTTTTGTGATCCATTTAGTTTAATGAGGGCCATTTGTATGACCATGAGATTGGAATTGTCCACTGCAGTCTAGTGGGGGTACTATAGGATATATAACCTAAGGCAGCAATTGCCTCTCTCCCTGAATCTGTCAATATCACACAGTCTATCAGTGAAGAGTAAGGCTCCTGAAACCCTCCTCCATCCATGCCTGACTGGTGATGGGCCCATTCTTTGTTGTTGTCGTTTTTTAGATTTGTCTATTTATTTATGTATGTGAATGTTAGCCCGAATGTTTGTTATGTGCACTCTTTGCATCACTGGTGTTTGTAAGGCCAGGAGACAACATAAAATCCCCTAGAACTGATGTTGCAAAGTATGAGCTTGGATGGGCTCATTCTTATGCAGGCTTCCATACCCACTATGAGTTCTGGTTACACTGACTGAGTCTTGCTCAGAAGGTGGCAAGTCACAGCTCTACTTGCTCTCTTCTGGCTCTTAAATTATTCCTGCTTCCTCTCTCCATTGTTCCCTAATCCTTTATATATCTGAGAAATTTAATATCAGAGACGTGAATCTCTGAGTTCAAGGCCAGCCAGGTCTACATAGTGAGCTTCTGTCTCAAAAAAAAAAAAAATTAACAACCATATAATACTTTTATGTAACTCTCCATTTGTATTCTATGTTTGACAATGAATTTAATAATATTGATTATAATATATAATGGGCCCAGCACTGACCTTTGTAATCTAGGATTTAGCATTACATTTAATTACCACATATTTGGCTTAGTTTTAAGCCAGTCGAATTCCTCAGTCTTTCTTTGACATGTAAAAAACAATGCCCGTTTTCTAGGTGTTGTGGTAGATTCACTAACTCGAGCACAAGAAGCTTGAGTCAGGAAGATTGAAGCTTAAGACCAGCCTGGGCTACATGTTTCTCAATTCCGGTTTTTCTGATACTTCTTCACAGTTATATTCAGGTTATATGTTCTTGGCTGTAATAGGGCACATGTGATAGAATATAATAGTGACAGTATACTTAAGATGACATATCCGGAGCCATGCAATGTCAATTTACATTACATTGTCAATATAATTTTGCTTTCCTTATCAATATGTTACATGACTTTTTAAATTATGTACTTCTGTTTTTTTTCTTTCACTGCCAATAAGCAATCTGTGTGGTGAAACTTTAAAACTATAAAAAAATATAGCCTGCTTCTTCATCAAAGCCATCTCATCCCACTCTTACCACTGATTGAGCATCAACTGATGATTTTTGTTCTATCTAGTCTTTATGTGATGATTGTGAAATGACAGTTTTCCAGCTGAGTACTGTCTCCCACACTTACAAATTGTCACTCAATATTCTGTGTAGCAAGAGCCTCTCTCCGTTTCATCTTTTTTATTTATTCATCGGTAGAGTCTCACGGATGCATTTTCATCAATGATTTAGAACTCTTTAGTACCTTCATTCCTCTTGGGTAAATGTCTCAGATTTTGCCACTAAGAGCCTTTTAGGGAAATTCCAGGGTTTTGTGACATTTTCTTATCCTTATTGTGAGCAATTCATTTGTTTTCTGGTATTACTAAAACTATTGCAGACTCATTTTAACTTTATCCTGTCCAAACCTTCAAATCAGCTATTTTCCCAGGATCCCTAGTTACTTTTAGTAGTACAATGATATTAGAGACTAAAACCTTAGTACTACACACACACACAGTAATATACTAAATTTTTACTTCTTTATTGTTATGCTAAAATACCATGACCATTCAGCCTACAGAGGAAGAATTTATTTAGGCTTATGGTTAAAGTGACTTTGAGTCTATAAATACATAGCTAAGGTATGGCAGCAAGAGCATCAGGTTGATAGCTCACATCTTGAACTGCAAACAGGAAGCCAAGAGAGTGAAGTATGAATGGCACATGGCTTTTATAAGCTCTAGAGACATACTTCTTCCAGCAAGGACTTGCCTCCTAAACCTATCCAAACAGTGCTACCAACTGGGGACCAAGTATTCAAATATCTGAGCCTAAGGAAACATTCTCATTCAAACCACTATACACACACACACACACACACACACACACACACACACACACACACATATATATATATATGTATATATACTCTACATATATGCACATCTATATGCAAATATAAAAACACATATGGTTGCCTGTTAGTGTCCATATGGGATTGGTTACATGACCTCCTGAGGATACTAGAATCTGTAAATGCCCAGATACCTACATAAAATGCTGTAGTATTTGAGTACAAACTATAGCCACCTTTCTGTATATATTAAATCATTTCTAGACTATACTGTCTAGTAAAATATAAATTCTATAATAGTTATTATATTGTTGATGTTGAAGGATCATGACTTTGACGACAGTTTAGTCTATATAGGGAATTTCAGGTATAGGCTGCATGGTAAAACCCTGTCTCAGATCTTTAAATCTGTACTTTGTTGGGGCTGGAAAGGTGTCTCAGTGATTAAGACTACTAGCTGTTTTTACTGAGGAACCAGATTCATTTCCCAGCACTCACATGGCAGCTCACAACTATCTGTAACTCCATTTCCAGGGGATTTGACACTTTCTTCTAATCTCTGGGTATTGCATACATGTGGTACACACACACACACACAGACACACACACACACATACACCCATAAAATAAAAATAAATAAATTTTTAAAAAACACCTTAAGATCTGTAGTTGATTGAATACTTGATTGCAGAACTGACAGGTAAAGATGTTTAGCTGTACGTTTTTTAGAAATCATACAGTGCTGTGTGGGAAGACACACACACACACACACACACACACACACACACACACAAACATACATACATACATACCCAGTCTCCTCAACCCAGAAAGGGAATGCACAATAGACCAAAGAAATGATTACACCAAACTTGCTGACCATGGCTTAAGAAAGTTGCATCTCTGGAGCTCTCAGCAGCAGATATTCTCTTTTCCACATCTTGGCCAGTCAAAGTCTCCCCCTTCCATCAGTTGTTTACTCTTTTTAAGGAATCTGGGAAAGGACCTTAGAGAATCTTCCAAGTTCCATTTTCCTAGACATGTAATGTTTTCTTTATCTCCTGGGTCTCATGAGCCTCCAGATCTCTCCTGGAGGGAGTTTGGATTAGGAGGAAACTGCCAGACCACATGCAGCCATATCAAGACCACCCAATTCTAACTCATCTCCACAAGTTCTTTCTTGCCTTCTCTCATTCCATATGTATGTTGTTTTCTTCATGGTAAGAATCCTGGATCTCGACAATATCAATGTGTATTTGATCAACACTGACATAAGTCTAAAATATTTTCAGAATTGACTTGCTTAGGGGTTGAGAATGTAGTTACATGAAGGAGCACTTAAAAATCTCAGCCCCTAAGCAAGTCAATTACATAGTACATCTTTTTGTTCTCCATTTTGATTTTGTTTGAGTTTCTGAAATAGGCTTGGCTGAGCCTGGGTCTTGCTCTGTAGCTGTGCCTGACTTTAAACTCCTGATCCTACTGCCTCTGCCTCTGATGTGCTGGGATTTTAGGTGTGCAGCAATATGCCCAGTTTTTTATCTCATTTTCTACTTCTAAATTAGGCCTTTTCTACCTACTTCAAATTAATTATAAATCTATTGGTCATATCCTGTGTAAAATACTCACAACACTATTTCTAATTTCTAATCTCACTAGATCCTTCATTAGAGCTTTATAAAAATGACTTAAATTTGTCCTCATATTTTCTGCCCTTTTCTTCCCATCTTCAACTAGACTTTATTTGAAATTCTTAAACCATTCCAATTGACAAATATCAAAAGAAGTCAAAAAAAAAAAAAAAACACCCAACAGAATAGAGTTTCAGTACCCATTTTACTGAAAGCTGGCCAAATACTTGCTTTTAATTATATATACTCCCTCCTGTTTAAGTCAACATTTGTAATCTCAAGATTATTTAAAAAAAATCATTCTTGAGTTTTTTTCCTGCTTAGGACAAAAAAAAAATCTTCTGGATAATAACATAATTCTGGACCACACAACCCCAGAAGAGTATGGAAATCTAGCCAGGAAGAGGTAAAAACATGTCTTATCAGAGAAAGCAGATCCCATCCTATTTTGTCATGTCACCTTGACTTTTTTTGGAGTTAGCAAATTTGGAAAGTAAGGGTGAAGATGAGGTGGAAAAGCAGAGTAATATAGCTCGGAAAGTCTTTATGTCTTACTGAGACAAAGGCATGTAGTCATTCATCACACACACACACACACACACACACAGAGTGATACAGTACATAGTTCACCGGAATAAGATAAAAAGATCACAAGTTTCTGTTTGAGCACATCTATGGCCATCTATGATAATGGACAAGCCACTTTCTTTTCAACTTTGTTTACCTTGTAAAATGAGGGAAATTCATGTCTACATGTCCTTTCTGCTCTGAGCTTTCATTATACTGAACTCTGTACAGGAATTTTCCCCTCCATACAAGACCAGACTCAGTTGACACAGAAACAGATTTCAGTGGTAAAGACCCAGAGAGTCCATAACTGATAGGATTCTGCCATTTGGAATAGTGACCATTCTTGTGTTCTTTGGAAGAAAAAAAAATTATATAACTTAGTTTTGGTCAGTGTTTGCTAGATGCTAGAATCCTGTCATAAGTCTTAGGTTTATAGAAAAAAATTAATTAATAGGATCATAAGTGCTGATTCATCTCATACCTTTCAAGGTTTAAAAGAAAATAAATGAATTCACTTGAGTTGGCTATAATTGATTTTCAGTGTGTGTGCTTGTGTGTGTGTGTGTGTGTGTGTGTGTGTATGTGTTTTATCCCGGTTCTTTTTACCTGTTGGTTGATGCCTTTGTCTTTCCCACTTCACAGGCCTGTATAATTCAGTGGACAGCTGGATGATTGTGCCCAACATTAAGCAGAACCATTATACAGTGCATGGACTCCAGAGTGGGACACGCTACATCTTTATTGTGAAAGCCATAAATCAAGCAGGCAGCCGGAACAGTGAACCCACCCGACTAAAAACAAACAGTACGTTGTGGTGATTCCAGGAGGAGGAACCATTTTACTCTCTGTGCCAGGGAGGACAATTAGCCTGAGCAGACTCACATAGTAATGTGTGAGAGCAGTGGCACTGAGTACAGGAATTTCATTGTTGTAGTTTGTGCTTTGTGTCCAGGACTTGTTGGTACCCATGGTGGTTTGTAGACTAAGAGATATATAGAATAGCATGTGGCTTTGAAATAGGTTAGGGAAGGGTTTTTCTCTGCTTTCCACCCCTTTATCCCATGCTTGGGAAAAAAATTTGACTTAAAGAGTATTGCTTGTGATGATCCAGCAAAGCTCTACCACAGAGATGCCATATCCATTAGGAATGCTCTTGATCACAACTGACAAGAATTTATCAAGGATTTCCAAGCAGCTTAAGTGATTAGTGTTTTTTTTTTGTTGTTGTTGTTGTTGTTTGTTTGTTTTTTAACTACATGTCTTACATTGAAGGCAGCCTGTTGGTGGCTAGTATAGCAGCTCTGAGATCTCATGAATGGTTAGAGCTCCTTCTTTGTGTTTTGTTTCATCCACAAGGCCACAAGATGGCCAGTGCAATCTCTGATGTCCTATTTTCCTTTAAAGTAGGATGTAGAAGGAAAACATTGGTAATCCTTTAATCAAGAAAACAGGAGCTTAACTGGAAATTTCTTCCAATCTATTTAACTTCAGCTTTCTTCTTATTAGCTATTCCTAGCAGCAAGAGATACAGAGAGAGAGAAAGAGAAAGAGAGAGAGCAGGAATGGGTGCTGCATTCTCATGCAGCTTCTGTCTCGGAGGTATATTGTATACTAAAGTTCTTGCCATACCCAGCATCTGGGCCCTGGGACAGTGTTTTTGTCATATGCTTATAAATAGTCTCTGTAGTGAAGCATGTGTTATCTTTCATCATCGATGATGGAGCAGGCATGCTAACAGAGTTGCCTAATTATATGTACACTCCAATTTCAAGAAAGCAAACACCTCCTGTTGCTGAGTTCTCAGGGTTTTTTTCCTTTTGTGAGCAATTGCTTCACTAATGCAGAAACTTTTCCTACCTCAAACATTGTAGCACTCCTTAAAAATCTGCCCAAATCCCAACCCACTCATTGAAAGAAACCAAAGTACTAAACGTATTTGAGAAAGTGAGACTTTGAGTGATCCATTTTAATTTTATAATACATTATGGGAACACTTTACTCTCTCCTGTGTGACTAGAATGTGACTTTGAGGAAAATGGGAGACCCACATTTTTCACACAGAAGGAAAATAATGGCAACATTTGAAGGTCATTTTATTGGGTGAATGACTTCTATTCTTACTTGATTGCAAACTGTGTCACCTTGCTTGCTTCCTTCATATAGTCCAAACTTACCCAAGGATCATCACCATACTAAGACTCCTCTGCTAATTATCATCATGGATGGGGAATGCACAATTCTTAAATGTTTCATCATGTTTTTCCCCTCTCACTTCCTTTTTTCAGGCCAACCCTTTAAACTAGATCCCAAGATGACTCACAAGAAGTTGAAGATTTCCAATGATGGATTGCAAATGGAGAAGGATGAGAGCTCTCTGAAGAAAAGCCATACACCAGAGAGATTTAGTGGCACAGGGTGTTATGGAGCAGCAGGAAATATATTCATTGACAGTGGCTGCCACTATTGGGAGGTGGTCATGGGTTCTTCAACATGGTGAGTGGGTATTTCTCTTTCCTTCTCCCATCTTCTCTGCTGTTAGGTTTTTAGGAGGTTCAATTCTACAGCACAGCTAAAATACTAAGTCAAAGTTAAGAGATATTTGGTAAGAATTATCCCTAGAAAATTTTGTTAGCTTTTTGTTTGTTTGGCTTTCTTTCTTTCTTTCTTTCTTTCTTTCTTTCTTTCTTTCTTTCTT